TGTTGTTCATTAGGTTTACATTAATATTACAATTAAGCGAACCATTGATGGCATCGCTGTTAGTGTTCATGCAGTTACTGTTGGAATGGCTGACCATTGGTTGTGAGATCTGTTGAGTGATCTGTTGTGAGATCTGTTGAGTGATCTGTGGCTTCAATGGTGTGCTGTTCTGTTGAGTCATTTGTTGTGCGAAACTGTTTCCCAAATCATTAAACGACGAGTCGTTGATCTCTTCGAGGAATTTGGTGATGAAGTCCTCGTCGCCGAAGTTGGCGCACACGCCGAGGCCGTCATCCGTGAGTCCGGTATCGCTGAACAGATCCTTCATCACATCCGAGCCAAACATCTCCATCCCATTGGCGGCGCAGCCATTGCTCTGAGCGTTGACCGCATTGTTGGACAGAATGTCATGAATTGCATCGACAGTTACGCTCTCGAAGTACGAGTTGTCCACAATCTCGCGCTTTATTTCCGGCGCAGAGTTGTTGGCAATCATTATCTGCGGGCTATTCGTTGTCACACAAGAGGTGGCAATCAATGGCTTTATTTTAACGTCCATTTGGTTGGACTGAGCGTTAAATTTGGAGCAATTGTTTCGATACATAGACTGATTACTGGGAGACAACTGTTGCGACCCTTTGGGTCCAACAGAGTTGGCGCGACTGTTGGCCCCTTTGGGACCCATTTTGGAGACCTTGGCGTCACTCGACTCGCACTTCGCGTCGCAATTATTGGCCGAAGCGTTGGACCTCTTGTTGGCGTTCCTCTGATTGGTCGACGCGTTCACAGACTTCTGTTGTTTGGATTTGTTGTTAGAGTTGTTGTGGTTATTGTTGAGGAACTGCTGCTGAAGACGGATGGTCTCGGCTTTCGTCTTCACGTTTTGCGAGTCCACTGTATTCTCATTCTTCTGGTAAGTGATCTGATGGTGAAGTCTATACTTCTCGACCCTTTGCTTCAGTCTCTCCACCATATCGTACGGCGTCTGCGGCGACGGCGAAGACACCATCGNTCTATACTTCTCGACCCTTTGCTTCAGTCTCTCCACCATATCGTACGGCGTCTGCGGCGACGGCGAAGACACCATCGACTGGTTGTGAGACAACTGGAGCTGAGGTGTGGGCGGTGTTGACGACTGTTGCGGTTGGGAATCAATTAACATCTTCACCACAAACTCACTGTCAGTCTATGCGGCCATCGATTCACTGGTGGTTGCGGTCATTGCATCCAATGTCTGCTATTTAGGCACTTCTGTCACCGATTGGCACTACTCTTGAGATCTGGGACCCAATCACTCAATGCTTTCACACATCACTGCAATCATCGCTCAAAGCAATCGTTTTCTAAACACTTTGACTAAACGTGTCATTCAATTGAATGCCAATTCATATGAATATCAAAACAATTGTATTATTGCTTGCATTCAATGACAACGTATCGAACGTATTGTCACTTCTATTGCTTGCATTCAACAGACAAAAGACACTCCTTTTCGCATTCATTCCATTCATTACGACACGCATTGCACGCCATAACCAACACATCATTTATGGTCGCAATCGCTGCACAACTCATTCAGACGTTCATGAGTTTTGCTGTTTTGCTGTGTTTTTTAAACTCAACACATCTTCACATAAAACGTGACACAAGTTTTGTCCCCAACTGTGAGTTGCAGTGAAAGCACGCATTGAGTGATTGGCGCCTGAGTTGAGGGGCAGTGCGGGTGTGACACAGATGTTGTGAACGCGTTGTGAATGTGTGGACACCATATGACTGGAAGTGTTGACCGAATCTCTGGGAAATGAGTTCCAAATATAGCCAACGAATGGCGCGATTGAGTCAAAAGATTTTCGGTCAATACAGGAGACCACCGATGCCTCCAGACATCCAAAGACATCGCACGCGCGCTGTGTATGCGAGACATGCCTTCGCAACCCTCCATCACCGCAACGAAGCCGTCATCGCCCGCATGTCGAGCCTTCCTCTGGATCTGGACTGTCAGCGCAACCCTCTCTACTATCCTCCACACCCGCAGGTCTATGTCCTCATCAATCGGCTCCGGGAGATGGGACTGTTCCGGTCGGTGACACCACTACAGCACTGTTTGTATTGATTGCTTCATTGAGTTGTCATTTGTTCCCAATAGTGACGAACACCTGGACTTCAAGGAAGAGATGGTTCGCCAGAAGATATTACGAGGAAAACGTATTTTTGCCAAATATAGCGACAAAAGTGGTGACAAATAGAGGGTTTATATGATATTAAATGTACACAAAATATATTAGTTTGCAATAAATTAGTTAACAATTGAGTTATTCTGTGATAATCATGGGTCCAGTGGTGTCTAAACGGGTAAACTCTTTGCCGCCATTTTGGTGAAGAACATGAGACCTGTTTGTCCGCCGGGCAGGTAACTGATGACATACCAGAGCAATGCTATCACTTGAATG